GGGTGGGGCTGGGTGGGCCCGGGCTGTGGGGAGGCCAGGGGGAGAAAGGGGCAGGGCTGTGGGCAGGCCTAGGTGGGGGGGGACCTCTGTTCAGTTCTGCTGGTACCCTTCCTCACTTCTGTGAACTTGGGCGTCTTGCCCTCTCTCTTCATCTAAACAGTGGGTCGGCTGTTTTTCACATCCCCCCTGCACACACGGTCTGGATTTCCCAGCAGTCCCTGTTTAGGCCCAAATGGGCAGACAGTCTTTGAACTATGGGGCTTTTGGCTCTTCTGCTCAACAGAGGTACAGGCCTGTGCTGCCACGGTGAGGGTGGGGCCTTAGCTGAGCCCTAGGCTGTTTTGTGGCCCTGGGCTGGGGACAGACGGGCCTCATCACCTCCACATAAACCCCAGGTGGGCTCAAGGATGCTGCCCGACCAGGACTTTCTCTGAATGGTCTGTTCTAGTCGTCATCAACCTCCAGCCAGGAGGAGAAGTCGTTCCGCGCAGAGGATCTGGCTACCGGGGGGATCCCCATCGAGCGGGCTGTCTCCTCTGAGGGTGGCCGGCCCTCGGTGGACCTTACCTTCCAGCCCTCACAGCCCCTGAGCAAGTCCAGCTCCTCCCCTGAGCTGCAGACCCTGCAGGACATCCTCGGGGACCTTGAGGACAAGGCTGACGTTGGCCAGCTGAGCCCCGAGGCCAAGGCCCGGTCCCAGTCAGGGATCCTGGACAGGGAAGGTGCCTGGACATCCCCGGGCGAAGAGAGCCGGGGCCTGGGCCCAGCCCAGCCCGAGGGCCCCTTGCCTTCCAGCTCTCCCCGCTCACCCAGTGGGCTCCGGCCGCGAGGTTACACCATCTCCGATTCAGCCCCGTCACGTCGGGGCAAGAGGGTGGAGAGGGATGCCTTCAAGAGCAGAGCTGCAGCCTCCAATGCAGAGAAAGTGCCAGGCATCAACCCCAGGTGGGCCTCTTCTCTCCTGCTGGAGGCCCAGTGCTCTTCTGGTTGGGATCCTGGCACCGTGGCAGCCCTGGCAGAGCAGGCTGAGGGAAAGGTCCTCGTGTTCTCTGCCCCGGGGTTGGCTGGAGCCACAGGGAAGGGCAGTTCCTTGGGTGACGGGCCAGGCTCTGCTGTCTCCCGTGTGGCTATGGCTGTGCTGCCCGGGCCCTGAATTCACCATCCCTTTCTCTGCAGCTTCGTGTTCCTGCAGCTCTACCATTCTCCTTTCTTTGGTGACGAGTCCAACAAGCCAATCCTGTTGCCCAACGAGGTGGGCAAGCCCTCCCTGCCCTGCAGAGCTACCCTGAACCTTCTGTGGGCCGGGAGCATGATGGGAGGCCCCCACTCCGGGCCATGCCAGGCAGAGCCCAGGCTTCCAGCGGCCCACAGCTTCAGCTCCCTGTGGCAGCCTGCCCTGATCTGCCTGGGCGTGGCCCTCCTGCGGGTGGACACCGGGGCCTGGGGGCAGGGTAGCCTCTGCCCTGGGCTCAGGCCAGCTCCATGTGCCACAGTCCTTCGAGCGATCTGTGCAGCTCCTCGACCAGATCCCGTCATATGACCACACACAAGCTCGCCCGTCCTGTACGTGGGCGAAGGCCAGGTGAGGCCGTGAGGCTGGGGGCTGGCTGGCTGCCAGGACAGGGCCTGCCATCCCTTGCTTGCCAGAGGCTGGCAGCCCGGGCCCTCCACCGCCCCTCAGAGCTCAGTGCCGCCCGGTTCTCTCGAGGCCTGGCACGCAGGGGGCAGGCAGTGGGGCCGGTGCTGGGGCAGGGCGGGGCGGGTGCCGCTCCGCATCAGGGTCAGAGCCGGGAGCAGAGCCGTGTGAGCGCGGGCGCCTGTGCCACGGGGAGGCGCCGAGGCCTTGCGCAGCTGGCGTGAGGCAGCTGGTGTGGAACGAGCTGGGCCCACGCGGCAGCACGTTCTTCTCCGGGAGCTGGAAGGGCCTGGATGGCGCCAGGCAAAGGCTGGCATATCCCTGGCCGCCGGGGGTAGAGCTGTGGAGGGGCTGGACGGGAGCAGGCCAGCACCTCTGGAAGGCAGTGCCAGCCGGAGAGAGGGGCGAGGGCATGGG